CACTGCTTTCTCCATTTATTCAAGAGCCTTTAAAAATTATTATGTGAGATGATAATTTGTACTTTGACTTGGCCTCTGAATTCAGCTATTCAGGTTAAAATTTCCTCATAGGTGTGTGCATATATACAGACATGTATGAAAAAAATCTGTTAATTGCTTGTTTCACTTATTGTTCAGTGTATCAGGTGAGCCATTTGCAGAATTTCATATTATTGAGGTGGTTACTGCAAACAGATATTTTATGGTTTTGAGTGAGGTTTCAAAGAATTGGCTTTGATTTCTTTGTGCAATTCTACAATCAGTATTTTCCTAATTTTCACTACCTCTTGATATGTGAATCTTTCCTTTTAAGAGAAAACAGCATAGATGTAAATTAATTTACATTTTCATCAGTAAACTTTATAGATGTAAGATTTTACAAGTTCAGTTCTGCTTAACTTGGTTTGAATTTGGAGGACAAAATGAACATGAAGATTGCCAAGACTATATTGTTTGAATACAATATGCTTTCAGTGTTTTAAAACAAAATGCAAATAAATTGGCCTGAACTGGTGGTGAAAAAGACCTTTAACTGACCTGTTTCAATAACTTGGGTACACCAGAAACCTTGACTGTCTTAGGGGTAAGTGCTGTGTCAGACTAGGTTTATACAGCACAGGAATTTAACACAGGATCCAATTTATCTTGCTATGTTTCCATAATTAGATTTTTGTTTGTTGCCATAGCAAGAACAAACTGACAAATCATGCAGACAAATCTTGACAAATATTTTAAATATAGTACTTCTAAAAAAGCATGGCTTTGTTTTAACTCACACTATATAAACATAAAAGTCAGTACTAAGACTCTGCCTGTATAGAGACAAACTGAGTCCACTGAAGTTGCTTGAAATTGATACACGCAGTGATAAGTGTATAGTGTGTATAAATGCTGTGGGAATGTGCTGCTTCTGCCACTCCTTTGGCTTCTGAGTGCCTATGCAAATAATCTTTTTTAAAATGCCATTTAGAATATGAGCAAACCTAAAACCTTTGAAAACAACTTGTATTGCTACAAATGTCAGTGCCTCCTAACGCAGAAAATGAGACAAGTGTCAGTATGAGGGAGATTTAAGAAGGGAATTTATTTTAAACTGGTAGAAGGACACCAAATACATATTCAGCCATTCTTGTCCCTGGAAGAGGCAGACACGCAGTGCAGGTGAATTTGATCTCAATCTGCACTCCTAAGGATCACTGGGAGCCAGCTCCACGTGTGTGTCACGCTCTGTGCTGGTGAGGAACAAGGTCAGTGCCAGCCTTGCTGCTGCTGCTGCTGCTGAGGCAGATCCATGCAGGGAGATACCAGGGAACAGCTGGGTTAAGCACACTGCTGCAGGAAATACAGGAAATCTGCTGAGAACCGACAGTGGAGAGGAGCCTGGCTCTCCCTGCCTTGCTGGAGGACACAGACTCAGTTCTTGTCCATGATTTGCATTGTTGTCTGTGTCAGGGTTTCCAAAGTCTTACTTGGCTCTTTGGGTGCACACACCCAGCTGTTGAACAGAGAATCCACAGAAGATGATGCCTCTTATTCTTTCCTTTCAGAAGATCTGTGCCAGCCATACCTTCTACAGTCTGTGCCTGACAGCATAAAGGAGTACTTGGTTTGATACAAAATTTGGTCTGCCTGCTCAGTTCTTTCATATTATTTTATAATTAATCATTATTATATTTTATTATCATTATATTATTCATACCATTATATTATGCTTAAGTTATATTTCTTATAATACTATATTAAATTATGGTTAAAAAAAGTGGTGTAAATATCACAGCTGTTTCTAGAGGCTTGCAGACAATGACATTACTGTCATCCTCCAAAGGAAATACAACCGAAAAAATTGCCTTTTTTGAAGATTTTGATATCAAAATTGAAACCTTCCTAAGGCAGCTTAAGCAGTGCAGAAGGAAATCACTGGAAAGAAACTAGTCACTGTTCTAGCATTGGTGAACTCATTCACTTGGGATTTGTTTATTTTACTCAATTTGGGATTTTTTTTCACACATATTCTCCTTCAAAACCATAACATGGTGTTCAAAGAAAACCAGAAAATTTTTTTCTTACAGAGGATTTTTTTCCATTATAAATATAAAAAAAACGCGTGGAAAAGAATATTTTTAACTGTGCAGTAGGCTTTTGACAGCCTTTTTTACTAAATAATGTATTGGTAGGGACAGTGTAAGCACATAATGAAGAATTAGCACTTCTTATTAATGGACTTTTTAGCTTAGAAATATTAAAGTAGAACTATACTGACTTGTGTTACCATAAGGCAATGGGGTCATTTTAAATCCTTGTTTTATGTCATTGATTTGGTCTGTGGCTTCATCACAGAAGGGAAATGAATTCATTTTGAGGTGATGGAGAATTGATAATGCTTTGAAAAAATTGTAGTACCATGATTACAGAAGTGAAGATTCTGCAACAAATCTACAGACTTAGAAGGAAGAATTTTAATCAACACAAGCTGACCAAACTCATTTTCAGTGCAAGACATCCTCCAGCTCTGCCAAGGTATAATGGTGTAAACTTTCTGGAAAAACTCAGATTGATTGGCATTGTTTGTGAAGTACTGCTTTACTTCAACATTACAGGTATATGACATACAATATAAGTTTCAGAATTTCTAAACTCTGCATGTGTTGAGGAAGTACCATAGATTTGGAAGAGCTTTGCTGAAAAGCTCTGATTTCTCATGTGTTAAAGACTAAGCATGTGGAAAAGAATTTTGAAGAATCAGGGCATAATTTTCCTTAATACTACAATTGATTTCTAGGGGACTAGTTAGTGAAAAAAATCAACTCATCTTGGGTAAAGGTGGCAGAACTCTGCCTAATAAATAGAATTTTGGAAAAGACACTGGTTTTTTATAGCCTGTTCCCTTGACAATCTGAGGGTTTTTTTTTCTTATAATGTTGACTGCTCTGTTTTTTTGCTTTGTATTTTAGTTGTAAATGACTCAAACTGTGGTGCTTCTACCACTTCCCCAGTCTATACCATAAATCTGAATGTGCATGTGTTTGCTTGGTATTGCTCAATAAAACAAATAATAACAGATCTGAAAAAGACGTCAGAAAATTACTTATTCTTAATAGACGCACAGGAATGCTTATTTCACTGTTATGTTTAAGTATATAATGACTTCCACCAAAGGAAACTGACACAGATTGTATTTGATTAATGAACACCATTATTTGCTGTTGGCTTGAAGAATTTATCTTTATCTAAATATTTTTTTCCAGAATGGGCACTTTTAAAATTAGATTAAGCATTTCTGTATAATATCTATTTCTACTCCTAGACAAATCACCCTTTTATTCAATTAGCATTACTATTCCAAGCTTTACTGAGTAATTTCCCAATAACATAGTATAGAACTGTTTCACTGGCTGCAGCAATCAACTTCTGCAAGAAAATCAGCTGAATAGAAAAGAAAGTATAAATGTGTTGGCAATAATATGAGGCCTAAAATGAATGTGTACATTTTTGTAAGATGAATCCTTAGATGTACTTGGATTGTGTTTTTCTAATGAGTACCTCTGGGTATTGGTCAAATTCGTCATGTCTTAATTGTTGGTATCATGAGAGTGGAGTTGCTCTTCCTATTTTTATTTTCCTTTTTTCATGAATTTACAGTTCAGCAGTCTAAGCTTAGAAGAAAAATAAACATGAATTAATTTTGCCAAGTGATTCTAAAACTCATTTTAATTAGTCCCCTACATTCTACAGTTAACCTTGATTGCATTTTATAATTTAGATTTTCTTGCCTTGTATAATGAGAAATACTCCCTACTAATAATGTTAGTAAAGCAGAAGAGTAAATTGATGCATCTTTCTTCATTAGCCATACAGTTTATTTTTCCAAGCTCCTTTGATCAAAAAGTCTTGATATGTCAGTTTTGTTAAATTTTGCTATCTACCTGTATGTATAACTGATTACATTTCTTGATTTAAGGATTAAGTAGTCAATGAAAAAGTTAGCTGAGCTGTAAGACAAGGCAGTCTTAGAAAATGTTCATCTGTGAATTTCATTACATCAGATTCTGCTTACTCTATGTGACTATTAATGCTTAATGCATAATGGATTATGAAATGTGAACAAAAAAACTGTCTTGGTTTATATAAATACATAGATCTTAAAGCTCCTGTAGATAGAAAATAGCTTCATGGAGATAAATTGATTCCCAAGCAGAGAAATATTTTTTCCCACTTATGTCCTACCTGTTTTAATATCTTATCAAGCTTTACATTTGCAAATTCCACCCATGGAAAACACATTAAAATTCCTAATCTTGCTCCCTGAGAAACCGATAGAAATTTTAGTCTTAGTTTTGAGAGGAACCATGTTAGAAACTATAGTAGTAGATCAGTTAGTGTATTATTTCTGTAGATTTCTGGTTTTTATATCTTACTCTTAAGGTAAGAAATCCAGATCAAGGGCTAGAGGCTCCTGCAAAACCAGTTGACACTGCAAGAGGTCCTTGTCCAGTACTGTGTGGTACAATGTGTCCTGTGCAGTGTGAGTAGTGGCAGGAGAATTGTTTTCAGTCTCCTTCAGTGATCAGATCTGTCCCCCAGGGTCAGACAAAAACCACTGGACACAGCTGGTGCAGACAGTGGTGTTGGCTTCACCATTCCAAAATCTTTGCAGCTGAAAGATTCCAAGGTTCTCGTGCGTGACTGGCATGAGAGCCCTAAGGTGAAACAGCTGCATCTCAAACCAAATGGGATTACAACAGAACCATTGCTTTCTCAACATGTATTCCATGAAATGGAACCTGGGGCAACGTTTGTGGTTTATTACTTTGCAGTTTGCATCTTTTCTTTGAGTATTGTCTAGCATGTTCACCTCCATTCTCTTTTGCATTCTCGGGACAATCCAGTTTGCTTATCAAGTTCTCTCTCTCTCTCTCTTTTTCTCTTTTCTCTTTTTCTTCCTTTTTTCCCCTTTCATCCAGATGGAATGCCATTTGCTTGGTGGGTTGGCCGTGCCAATGAAAAGCATCTTTACTGGGGAGGATCTCTTCCGGGCATTCAACAGTGTGCATGTGGATTGGAAGAAAGTTGTCTGGATATGAGATATTTTTGCAACTGTGACGCAGATAGAGAAGAATGGTAATAATTTTAACATGTGTATAGCAGTGTCTGTGTGAAGAGCTGGGGATAGGAAGTAAGGCAAGAAGGCTTAAGTGTTTCCTGCTTTGCAGTTCAGGAAATTTGAATGGCTTCAGTGGAACCTGATAAGAATGAAAATGAAACTAGAATTTGAATTTGTGATTTGACCTCAAATTTCTTTTTTGAACCTAAGACAGCTGGCTGAAGCAGGTTGCTGGGATGGGTGGACTTCAAAAAAATCTTTTTCTCTGAATACTAAATCCAATAATTTTATTTCCTTAAAAGTTTTGATTCAGCTGGAGCATTGCATGAGTAAAGGCTCTATGAGCTTGTTTCATAGCTGTAAATTGAAGCAGAAAATTGAGGCCTGCAAAGCAAAATTCAGATACAGCTAAACAAGAAATATGTACTACTAAACACGCTCGTATTTCTCTTATGAAACAGTGTAATGTGCTTAACTTTCTTTTGCACTGAATCTCAAGCTTGTTAAGGTCAACAGGAAGAGTTGTTTGGCTTCTGTAGGTTTTGGTTCAGTATCCATAGGAAGTTTGTGTCACAGCATGAAAATTCAAACCTTGCCTTGGGTTCTGACATTTGTTGTGCCCTGATGCTGCATGAATTTGGGAAGGCCACCTCACAATCTCCTGTCATTCTCTGCACTTTCAGAGACACTCCAGCCACCAAGAGCTAGTTGATGAAGTTTCCAAACGTGTTTGAGGGGACTGAAATGCCACGAGTGTTGTTGGAAGTACAGTTTGAAACATTGAAAATACATGTGAAAATTCTACTCACTCAGTCTCCCTTCTAGAACACTCACTGACAGAATCTGCTGTCCTTTATCTGAAAAAATTTTAATCTCGAGTAGTTCAGAAATTATGAGTAATGGAAGGTGACAAGAAAAGTCTTGCTGTCATAAGCTGCTGTGTTTGAAACACTGTCTGAATTAGCCCTGTGAAACCTTCACTTAAAATGGGTAAAAAGGAATGGTAAGGGGTCTTACAAAAAAATAAAAATTAAAAAAAAAAAAATCAGAAATTACTGGTCACTGTAAGTGTTAGGTTTTTTTGGTTGCTTGATTTCTAGACAGTGTAATTATTTGCTTGGACCCTTTCTATCCCTGGGGTCACTATTTACTTTCAAAATTTATAGCTGTAAGGGGATTTCTTCAGGAAGATATTTATGTAAATCTTGGCTTATGAATGTGATTTATTTTGAATAGCCTGGCTGTGCATGTTAATCTCTCTCTTCCTTAATGTTTGGTTATCAGATGCGCTTTTGACGAGATTTGCACATGAGCATCACGAGCATCTGTTTTTCCTGGTGCTTGGCTCTTTTCATAATCCACATTCCATCTTTCACTGCTCAAGCAGAGCAGGGTGTTATGCTGGCAGACACTGGGGTTGCAGTCTTAGACTGCAGGGCACTGCACCATTAGATCATACAAAGCAATGCAAGGTGAAAGCTAAATGCAGGTTTATAATATTTCAGCTGAGTCTCCTCAGGAAATGAGACCTAAACAAGTTATGCTGTGAGTGTTTATCTCCATTTCCCCCCCCCCACACACACCCCCAATGATTTTGAACAAGCAGACACGTTTCAAACATCTTAGAGAAGGAGAAGTCTCAAAAGTATAACAAATTACACATTCTATGAAAATTTATGCCAGGCTGAGGGGAAAAAGCCAATTAAAGCCCACAAGAAAGAAGTTAAGGAAGCGTACACTTTTATTAGATTTTGGAAAACCCTCATGGGAGAAAGATGTTGGAAATCATGCATCGTTACCTTGGCAGCTCAGAGAGCTACTTGTTTCTCCTAATTTCATGATAATAAATATGCTTACAAGTTACCTCCACTAAACTGCCTACTGTTTGTTGGTTTGGAGCTTGAATTGCTTAGGTTTTTAATCCATGAGAAAATTTTACTTTGGTAGTATTCTAAACTGGAGGTTGGCTTTATAAAAGCTAAAAAACCCTGACCTTTATGTAGAGTTTCTAAACATAAGAAATTTCATGCCTCTTGAAGATTGCTTTTGTGTTTCCCTGCTAGAACACTGACCCCCTGATATATAACGAGCATTCGAATCTGAAACCTGCTGAGATCTGAACTGTGACTTTAACCTGCCATACATTATAGTGGAAAGAGCAAGACAGCAGTAGATGCATTTATTTGCCTCAGCATGAAATAAAATGGGTGCTGCAGAGTGGAAAACCAGAAAATCATTTTTGCTCCTTTTAGATAAATCATGCTGCTCCAAGGTAGGAACTCTCCAGAATAGCTGAAGCATCCTCCCAAAGAGGAGACAGTCCTAGGATTTTGCTTTGATTTGTTTTCCCTAGACTAAATCTTGGGTGCAGAAGAAGCTACTAATTTCTCAGAGCAGCGAAAGAAATGATAAACAATGGAAAGGAGACCTGACAAAGTCCTGTGCCAGGTGTTTGGCAGCACACAATATGCACTTCTAGGCATGCTGACTTTTAAATGATATCTGGGCAGACACCTGAGCCAGCTGCTATTTTTGGGCTCTCATTGACATCAAGTTAGTCCCCCTGGCCAGATGAACAGGGATCTATAATTAAGCATTCTAGATGGGGAAGGCTTTTGTATTTTTCACCTTTGTTTTTATTAAAACATTGTACTGATAAGTATATTTTCTCATATGGCTCATCATGCTTCCAAACTCCACAGCATGATGACAGCAAAATCTGTCACTTCAGAATAGTGGAGCATCTTCATGGTACTTTCTGGAGAATGGGAGATCTCTGATGAGAAAGCAGAGGCACCTGCAACTGCACCCTTTTTTGTTGACTCAAGCAAGGGATCTGAAAAGGTGTAAGATATGGCTTGGCTGTGTGCTGCCAAAAAAAAGAGGAAGTCATCTGACTGCTGAAAGCACTTGCTAGTGGGTGGGAACATTCATAAAAATCCAGAGGCTTCAAGCTGAAGCTAAACCTAGTTCAGAAAATCTTTCTTTCTTTTCTTTCTTTTACTTATTTTCTCTCTTTTACTTATTTCCTTCCTTCCTTCCTTCCTTCCTTCCTTCCTGGAATCCTTCCTTCCTGGAATCCTTCCTTCCTTTCCTTCCTTTCCTTCCTTTCCTTTCTTTCCTTCCTTCCTCTGTCTCTTCCTCTACACTGACATTGGGACAAGTTATATGAAGATGAGACATATTAGTGATTGTTTTTCAAAATATATACCCTGTTTCAAACAAAAATGCATTATTGATTGGGGAAATGTGTTAAACTCACCTAAAGAATAAAGCATTACTAAAATACTGACAGGATAGTGTTATCATGAGATTTTTTGTATCTTCAAATACCTCTCCCAGGTTGTCTTTCACCTCAAGCAAAATTCTCTTGCCTTGGCAATTAAGGTCTTGCTGCTCACCAAGCCTTGCATTTAAATGGGAGGAAACTCTTTCATGCTGAGATGAGGCACATGAGTGTCCTGAAGTCCTTTTGTTACTTTGGTCTCTCTATTTGGAATCCATTTTCCACTTCAAATGCAAACCCTTGAACGAAGCCAGTCATCAAAGCAAACCATGCTGATGGTATTCACCTGGAAACCTTGTGAATTTGGAGAACTTTTCAGCTTTTAATTTTGTACAGAAACAGAGGCATCTTTGGAACTAATTTTGTGCGAGAAACTCAGACATCTCAGCAAAGTGTGGTGGATGGTGTTGATTCAAACAATTAGCTGATTGGCCATCTTTTATTTCTATTCTGCAGTCTTATTATTCAAACTGGAGGAATATCCTCCTCTTTTGTCTTCCAGAACAGTTTTCTTTGCTGGGGGATGAAACCTTTTGAGTCTTGCCATTTCCAAAGTAACGTGTTCACCTCTGTATCGTGGCTTTGGGGCGCTAGAAGAATCAGGAAAACCACAGGACAGGATAAGAGGAACAAAACAGAAGGTGGATATTACTATTGTCAAAGCCCCTTTGTCTCCCAGAGGTATAATGAGTATATTGAGCTTTGTTTGAGGAGGAGTAAAGCCAAATGGAAGTGAATGAGCTTGGATGAGCTGTATTTGTGCCAAGCTATACCAGAGCCAGGATGATAAAACCGGAAGGGTTGAGGAGAGCAGGGCAGAGAGCCCTGATGAGCCCAGATTTGACAGGTTTTGTTTGTTCAAGCACTACCCCACACTGAATCCATTCCTGAGAAGCAGTGCAGGCATCTCCAGAGAGCCCACGAGCTCATAACTAACCCCTGCCAGAGGTGACCTGGCCTGTATAGAGTTGTCTTGGATGTCTGCTGTCATGACTACATTTGACAACAGCCAGGAAGAGTTGCCTGCAGAGCTGACTGTAGCAGGTCCCTGAGGTGTCAAGAAGCAGTTCATTACTTTAATTACCAAACTGTATCTCTAATTCAGCCAAATGCAGGCAGTGCATCTTGCCTTCAGCTGTTAGGTATGTCCCCTTGTGCTGGTGTTTTTTAGTTTATTGTGGCTGTACATTATTTTACCCAGTAAAGCATTTTTGGATATGGCTCATAGGCAAGATAGCAATTAAAATGTATTCCTTTGGATTATTAATGATATGTCCTGCACAGGACTCAAAACTTTTCCTGATGGAAGCCTATGTCATGGGCCCATTCCTTATGTGCTTCCTTGCCATCTGCTGATGATAGTATTCTTTTCCCCAAATGTACAGTATTCCTGAAAATCTGCTCTGAATATCTGAGCTACTGAGGCTCAGATCCCGCCAGAGTTTCCATTAATGTGCAAGAGAAAAACATACCAATAGGGGATCATATAAGAATAAATTATATTTAATGGCACCACTGTTCTACCATCTGTTATAAAAAATATGGAAATGACTACCTAGAGATTAGCAATTTATGATGGCACACACTGTTAGAACACCATCGAGCAAAGGTTTGTTGAGCACACTTTTAGTAGTAGCCGGGAAGAAGAAAAATAGTTTCATAATGTTATCATCCAAATAGTTATTTGTTATTTACATGTGAGACTGCCTTTACTACACCTTGAAGTATCCAGCTGCTGCACTATCACCTTTAGTAGCAAATTATTTTCATCTCTTTTAAATTGGTCCATACATAGAGCATTTGTGTGATGTGTGACTTGCCTCATAGCTTATTGAGGAAGTCCTTTGGGTAGATGTAGGTATTAATCTTCAAACATGGACAAACAAATGACATCCAACTGTATTTAATACCCATAAACAAAAATTTTTCAATTATTTAATTTAAAGGGCATTATTGGATCTGTTCGCTTTGGGTTTTGCTTTGGAAAGGACAAATTGACACTATCCTTTATGCAAAGAGCTCATCTGTTTATTGGGCGTGGTTTCTACCCTCAAAACATTCAGATTTTTTCATTTGATTTTGTGCCAAATTGAGTGCCAAGTCAGGTAAGCAGGAGGTCAACTTCTGTAGTTTACTAATTTATTCCTCCCGTTTTCTGTAAGCAGAGGACTCCTTTCAGGAAAGTGAAAAAACCTGCCTTGATTTTTGTGAAATCAGGATTTAACTTAGATGGGGTGTGCTTGGTGGAGGTAGCCACAGAGTGCCATGTGAAACCCACTAAGGATAAATAAATAGTGGGTTTGGCTAACCTGAGAAGCAGCTGTGGAAAAACAAATATAATCTGCTTTCAAGTGTGTGAAGAGCTAAATTAAAATACATATAGGTAAAAAGGAGCTCTGGGAACCAATACAAAAATAATTCATCTTAATTATTATCTTAATTAACAAGGTTTTAACTTTTGTTTAAAAGACGAAATCATGTATTTGCACATCAGCGTGCAGATGCTTTTTATCAGAAAACAGCAATTTTATTTGTAAAGTGTAGTACATGAGAAGTGATCCCCAAGCCCCCTTCAGGCAAAATTTCAAATGTTTTGTCCAAACCCTGGTATATTTGTATTTTGTAGTGCCACAGCAGTGCCTCCAGGAAGTTATTGTACAGGTGCACGAAGTTCTTTCCCTGCTCTCTCAGGAATAATACCTTGCATTTGAGAGGCTGCCATGGTGCAGCACATAGAGAAGAGGAATCGTGGTGCTTTGTAGGAAATGGAGTCTGAAATAAGTTCAATTTAAGGAATACCAGGAATACCAGGAATTTGAAACACATTTGAAGACACAGAGAGTATCTTCCACTCTCTTTTCAGCTTTTCTTAACTGAAATCGCTTAGGTGTTGATCTTTCACCAAAAAACTTGATTTCCTACTGTGAAATAATAATAATTAACTGCAACAATAGATAATGTTGATCCTCACACTAACATGTTCTCTGAAGGACAGAATGTTTTTCTGATAGGTTTTATTTCAGTGTCTGCTTGTGTAAAAATGCATATCATTATATGAGGGTTTTTTCCCATGTATGAGAGAATAAAATGCATAAAATGTGCTATTTGAGTTTGAAGAGAAGCTTGATTGAGTTTTCAAGGCATTAACAAAGAAGTGAAGATTTTTATTAATTCTAGGATATATTTCTCTCTCACACTTGAGCTGTGCTACTAAAGTTCACTGTGACACTGGCATATAAGTAGTAAAAATTCAGTCATAAAATTTGATATAAAAGAACTTCATGCAATACAGCAGAATATCTAATAAGCAATGCAGTTTTCAGAGATGTGGAATAGATATCTTTAAAATGTCACCATTTCATGGTTTTTTGTAGATATTTGAAGTGCTAGCTGTAGAAAGATACTGATTTTTATTTTAATGCTGATCATAGCTAGTAAAAAGACTGCACTATTTTTAAAATTTAAATAAATTTGAAGGAAACCTCCCTAAATATTTTACCATTTCTGAAAAATTTTATTTTCAAAAAGAAAACACCATTACTATGCACCTTTCTGCCTTTTTTTCATTAATTCTGCCTATTTTTCTTCCTCTGTCACTGTAATACCTAATTTAATTATCTTCCTAAGAAACACTAAAATAATTTAGCTTTTGTCACAGTAGTTTCATAATCTGTTAAGAGTATTTATGCTGGCTTTTAAATATTGATACAATAAGCTGTGAGTGTGATACTGAGTTTCTGCCCTGAAGAGATTCTGAGACCATGTACCTTTGATTCATACATTATCATTTTCCTCCTGAGTCTGTACTGAAGGCCTCACTCTGCCTCATGCCTGGGAATTTCATCTCCCTGCACTTTGTCTGTAATTATTTGCATGTCAGACACCCACTGGAGCAAGAAGAAAATGTTAGCATCGGAGAGGGTACCTCTCTGTTCCCCTTGGCATTAGGAGGCAATTAACTATGCTGCATGCAATTATAAGCAATGAAAAATAAATGCAATGTATGCAGCCTTTATGAAAAAGATCAAAATACTCCTATTTTTGTCTAACATTAATCAGAGTAGAGCACTTAGCCAAGCAAACATTCAAGGCTGTGTGTCAGAGCACAGCTGCAGTGTTTGTCCTGATTATTATTTCTTTGCTAGAAGTCTGTGTCTGTTCCCATGTCTGGAACTACACTGAGAGGTTCATTTATGGAAGTTGGCATTACAAGCAGGATATGGGCAGGTCTGGGATCCTGCCTGGAATGTCAGACTCTGGCAGTGTTATCACTCAAATAGTGATACCCGTTTCCTGAGGCATTGTGTCACACCTGCCTGGAAGAGCAGTGGGTATAAATTTGGGATTACCGGCATTTTGGATGTGTTGCCATCCCCATGTGCAGGATGTCATCTTTCACATATGAGCAGACAGGTGGGTTGAGTCCAGACCCTGCTGGGCTGAGCAAAGGTAGAGATCCTTTCTCCAAATCTATTGAGATTTGGTTCCATGAAGGATGCTCTGCCACGCTTATGTGCCCAGATGTACAGCAAATATTAACTTTGAGAAAAGCAGAAGAAAAAACAAAACACTGTAGAGATGAGATTCAGTAGCACTCACCTCTCTGTTCTCAATTGATAGAGAGAGATCTCAAAAGGGCAGTTCTGGTAAGGTCAGGGTTGGTGCCTGAGGGACTCAGCTGGGTTCATGAAGTACAGTGGGATGAATGCACATCTGTGTACCCTGCCAGAGCCAAAGCCACTCAGTTGGCTTAAGGACCTGCCACGAAACATCACACTGCATTTTGAGGACAACTTTTTATCCAGCTGACTCAAAATACACACAAAGAAATTATCCTTTAAGAATCAATCTGTCTTTTCCTTTCTAGTAGCCATGTGTTAGTTGCAGCTGAAGAACAAGCCCAGCTAAACAAACATGAGAAGTTTGGCAATGCAGTAAATCCACCTGGAGTATTTCAGTTGCTGAACCAAAACGTGCACTGGTGTGCAATGCAAAGGATCGATTTGGTCTGATCTCACTCTGCCAATGCAGCTGTTTTTGCAGTGTGCAGGGTCAGTCATGTCCCAGCCATCTTGAAGCTGGATCAGTAATTGTCTGGCTTCCCCTTGCTAACAGTGTGCTGGGTCAGGCATTGACTGTCCTCTTCCTGCTCGAGGAAAGCCTAAAGCCAGCATAAAACACGCTTATCTGTCCCCAGATAACTTTACAGAAATGCAGACTTGGACTTAGACCTGATCCACAGCAAACACATCCCGCTGAGGAAAGCCAGTAGAGCCCAGTTTACATTAATGGCCATTAGTCAGTATGGCAGTGCCCTTCCTCAGCTTCACAGTTGTTGTGCACAGCTGAAGCAGCTTTACAGCCCATCCCAGCCAGTGCCATGTACCCAAATGGAGTCTTCAGTGGTCACTCTTGCATATGAGCATAGAGCATACATGGGAGCATATTTACCTTGAACAGTGTGTACTTGTCAAAAATCTTCCAGGTAATTCTGCAAAAGATCTTCAAGTAAGCATCGTTTAAATATTGTCTTGCATGAGGAATGCTGGGGGGTTTGTCTGTGGTTAATCTGTCTCTTTCTGTTTGTGTATTAAAATCCAGGACAAATGATACCGGCCTCCTTGCTTTCAAAGACCATTTGCCTGTAACTCAGATTGTGATCACTGACACAAACAGATCAAATTCTGAGGCTGCTTGGAAAATCGGCCCTTTGCGTTGCTATGGAGACAGTGAGTACTAGCTCTTCTCAATTTCCATAGGTACAGAATGTTCCTTTGTTGTTGTTGTTGTTGTCCTTTTTTATACAAAAAAACTATTTCTCTGATAAAGGGTGGCTTTCCACATGCAGCTTGCAGCTGCTGTCCTGTGCCAATTAACTATAGAGAAGGGGGTTGTGTTTGCAGGGCAGTTCTGGAATGCTGCTTCCTTCAACACGGAGGCCTCCTACCTGCACTTCCCCACGCTCCACGCCGAGGTCAGCGCGGACATCTCCTTCTTCTTCAAAACCACCGCCGTGTCCGGGGTGTTCTTGGAAAACCTTGGGATTAAAGACTTCATACGGATTGAAATAAGCTGTAAGTTTCACTGCTCAGAAATCTTGGTGGTTTTGCCCAGTTTGACGGATGCAGAGGACTGGGAAGGACATATTTTCTGCTGTCTTTGGATGGTTGGAGGTGTCTGGAGATGATAAGATGTAGACATAAAGACTCTGTTATCTAGACTTACCTACCTCTTCTATCAAAGTTTCCCTGTATAGACTTGGTCAATACACAATCTTGTTATGGCTAGGTTTACCTTTCTCTAACAAACAAATGTATAAATTTATTTTTTCAACACTGATACTTAGTTTTTTGTTGTCCAGAGAAAAATCTACTGGTTAGATTTTAGGCTGTAATTTTAGTTGAAAGTTGAAAAATTTAATGCACCATTCTGGTGGTTACTTTCATTTCCATATCAGTAACATACCCAGTCTGATGCAGCCCAAGTGTTTCAGAGGAACTCAGTGTGTATGGTACAGCTACAAGGTGAGAACTTATGAGGGACAGGGCACTAATGCAAAATAAGTTAGTCACAGTTGTAATGGATCTTGAATACTTCAAAATCTATTAAGTGAGTGCACTGTAACTGCTACTCAGTGTATAAGGAAAATTGCAGGGAATTTAATTAGTGAGATTTTGCCTCACTTCTGTTGTGATGACTTCAGTTATTTATTAGTGACAAAAGACACGGTGGCTTTGACATGAAATATGACATGTGTATTCCAAATTCTGTCAAGCTTAGGGAAAACAAACTGAGTGCTATGAATTTGATAATATGCTTATAATAACCCCAAAATAAAATTAAATAAAACAGGGCCCCAAGGCCCTTCGATTCATTAAACCAGTGGTAAATGTCATGGTGGATTACCACAAGGTAATGAGGTGTGATTTACTGTTAATTGCACATCAAGGTCCAATTTTGTTGCACTTCAGGGTAATACATTTTATTCTCAGGGATACAGAAGTAAAATGTAAAATGGCATCAAATATAACAAATACTGTAAACTAAGAATTGTTCAGTGAAAGCTTCTGCGTATGTATTACATCTGTACTCCTAGAGAAATGAGTTATTTAAAAGTTTGGGAAAAAATGTTTTAGACTTAGACTTCTCATCAGTAGTTTGTTGTTGTGCTTCTTGCTGCCAGATGGAATTTGCAGCCTAAAGGCCTTGTATCAAGGAAGCTCCATGGAGCAGCAGCTTCAAAGGGAAACAACTTTTTAGCAGATGCAGAGGCTCAGAATAGATCTTTGTCTATCGCTATGGAGCATTTCCTATCTTAACTATCTAAGAAGCAGCTTCTAAAACCAGACCTATCCAATTTTTTGGGCATAAAATAACAAGGGTTTTAGAAATTTTCCACAACCTTCTGCTTGTGTGATTTGTGGACCTGGTTCTTTGTGGTGCATTTGTCATTTTAGGAAGAGGAAAATAATCCGTAGCAAAAATGTTTAAAAAGTCTAGCTCTTTTCAGGCTTCCAGCAGAGCAAGGTGGACTCCTTTATGTGGCTTTTGTTCTTCAACTATTTTCCTGTTTCTATGAGCCTTATTATTTCTAGATGTGTGTTACATATACAGCTTTAGTATAGGATCACCTATTAAGTAGTTTCACTCATCTATTTTTTCATGCATCTTGGGTCAGGCTTAGGCAAATGCTTGTAGGATTCTCTTGTACCACATGCAGCCAAATTATGTAATGTTAATTACCTGCATTTTGAAAGATGTAGTTGGAAAGATCTTCATCCTTTCTCCCATCTTAACATTATTTGTCCTAAATCTTTTGGGACCGTTGTGTGACTTCTGTGCAGCATTTGGCACTTTTACTTCAAAAAGAGTGCCATTTCTAGAGCACAGCGATTTTTATAGCAAAAAAGATGGGCACCCACAACCAAGTCTAATCACAGCAGAGATCAAACAGTGAGGCTGCAGGCTGAAATTTATGTGTAAGCTGCTGTGTAGGAGATGGGAGGTAAATGATCCTGTACTATTTGCTGACATAAAAGTTAATGGACCCTGTATTTATGTAAGATTTCTTGATGTCAAAACCGCGATTTAATTCAGACCTTCACTTCCTCTTCACATCTGTTTATCTGTTCCAGCCCCCAAGGAGATCACCTTCTCCATAGATGTCGGGAATGGCCCCACTGAAGCCACGGTGCAGTCTCCCACCCCCCTGAATGACAACCAGTGGCACTATGTCCGGGCAGAGAGGAACCTCAAGCAAACCTCTCTGCAGGTGGACAACCTCCCCAGGAAGGTCCTGGAGGCCCCTGCTGAGGGACATTTCCGCCTGCAGCTCAACAGCCAGTTATTTGTAGGTAGGGACAATCCAAGGGTTCCTGCAGATAACAGTATTTCATATGCTTTGGTGGTGAATGCTCTTGTCTTTCCATTGAGCTTGCATGTGGTGGCTTGCATTTGCTTTCTATTCTTCTGCTCCTGCATAGCAACATGAAGTAAACTCAAACAACTCTATTTACACTCAAAGCACAAACCATAGTTTAACCATGCTATACTTGATGGTATTTTTGTGGTCAAACTCTTGAAATGTATTTACTGCCAAAGAGTTGATAACCTTTCTTCATATGCCGCCCTGGTTGTGTAAAATGCTGTAAAAAAATGTGACCTCTCTCTTTAGACACATTGTAAAAGTCAAAAATTTGTCATACAAGTTTCTGAGGCAAAGCCTGAAGAGCCAGTGTGGTCTTTAAAGTCACTTCCTTCAAGCATGCCTACAAAACCCTTGTTTGTCTAGAAAGGCCATGAGTGAGAGAAGTATGAATGCAGTCAATGAAAATACGGGTGTTTTATCTGAAAGTGATTTTTCAAAGGAGAGAAAAGAAAATTAAAAGGAGAAAGAACAATCTCTGCATGTATTTTGTTTACTTATCACCCTCTTACAAGAAACCTGGATTGTGGCTAGTTTGTATTTGTTAATATGATAAAGGATTATGAAGGGAATTCTCTCTTTTCTATATTCAAATGCTTTATTTCTGAGTAACCTGGTCAGTGATGGAGTGGGATGTAACTGTTCTTGTGCAGGCCCATTCAGGTAACTTCTGATTCCTTCCTTAAAATTGATTTTTTTACTTAGCTGAAATACTGTAGCAAACCTTGGTCTGTCAATGCATTTTAATAAAGTTTGCTTCTACATTCATACCCTTATACTTAAGTAGCTTTCAGGGTATTCATTTGAGCTTTTTATTGTGTATGTCTGCAATAATTACTGGGCTCTCAACATAAAGAATTAATCTGTTAATAACTAGATATGGCTGCATCAATGTCAGGAGTCCTTCCCACACAGCTGTTGATTTATACCTAAAATGATCTCTGTTAGACTCAGCTGGAGAAGAGAACTCACAGAAGGGAGGCTTAAGACTGTCACAGTGCAAGGTTTCTGTTTTCTAGTATGAAGCATGCTGCTAATCACTTGTTTTTCAAATACTACATTGATCCTAAGAACATGTTCTGTGGGAGGCCAGGCCTGGAGGAAGCAGGCTTGGGCTGCCAGACACCTACAAACATCAGAGAAATTTAGCCAACATACTGTTTCCAGTTAGGAAAATCAGAGATTTAGTGACTGAATGCGCTTGATGATTTTTTGGTTGTTTCTTTCTAAAGGACTAAATATAATGAGTTTATCATAGGTCATCTATTAGAAATGTCATATATATCAACTGCTTAACATCTCACGTCTGAAAAGTAATATCTGCCTGTAAGCTTGCTGCTCAGCCTCAGCAAAATAAACAAGTTATCTGTGTGAATTTCATGGTGGTTTTAAAGTGACATAATTGATGAATTGTGTCATGAAAATCCATGGTAGTTAAGGACCTCACCAGAGCAATGTGCCAACAGGAATCCTTGTGAGCAAAGACAAGCACAAACCCCTGCCACAAAACAGCATCAGCATCCCCACAAGCTGGGGACTGACTGGATGGGGGGCAGCTCTGCCAAAAAGGTCCTGTTGGTTTTGGTGGAGAAGTGAATTTGTATCTCATCTGAATGTAGCTATGCTTTAAGGAACAGGTTGGAACAGCTGATTCCAGCAGGGACTTCCAACTGATTGTACTCTGATTGTAGTGAGTGTTACAGAAAACTCTAGGATGTAGGTATTTATTTCACCCAAGAGGTGAAAAGGTCTCAGTGTGCAATAAATATGCTGCATTCTGTTGTCTGTTCACACTTTTATTGAACCATGAACAAAAGAGACAGAAAAACAAATGAGTTTGGGAGTGCTTTTTCAGGCCTTAGCTCTGCCATATTGAAGGCCAAAATTATCTGTGACTTGCTAAGTTTTCCAGAGAGCTGTCAGAAGTGTTGGAAACCTGGGCAGCCTCTTGATTCTGGCACTATTTGTCCCCAGGTGCTCCAGGGAAAGGTGGCAGAAGTCCAGCAGTGCACAGATGTGATGTAGTTTGTCTCTACTGAAAGTCTCATTCGAATCTCGTAATAAAAAGCTACTGATTTAATACCTCAGCCATGCAGAGAGCTTTAACCCATCTGAAAAATAAATGTATAAACGCAATTGTAAAAAGGAAAGAAACAGCAGCGCATAATATTACTCCCTACTCCCCCTATAATCCACAGCATATTTGTCTCTGCAGCATTCTGCATACTGACAGTGATTAAGGAGTTTCCAGCCTTAATGACTGTGTGTGGCAGGCTTTTGAGATAGCTTTGTGTGTCCGTGAAGTGGAAGAGAAAAATGACTTTGCATTGCCACTACACTCAAACAAGCCTGGATTTTAATGCAGTTAGAAAGGAGTTAGAAAACCATTCTTCACTTTCTTTTAGTGCTTCTTGGGTATCTAACTGCTTCTGGCTGCCTTATAGTCCTGTCAGAGCATGGATATCCTTGCACCTGGCCAGATTTCTTCTGTAAATTTTTAAAAAGTGCAGTAGAAGGAGCAAACCCCAAACAAATGTGCAGGCCAAATAACATCAACTGCACCAAACTGTCTAGTAACGAGCTAATTCAACAAATTACTTGCTCAGAAGAGGCAGGCAAAAACCATTCCTGTCAATAGACAGTATGTGTGACATGGTTTTGTACAGTGCAGTTCTCCCTGTGGTCCTGGAGTAGTGGTGTCATCATCTCCTCTTGTGGCGTAGTCTGACATGAAACCCTGTCTTACCTACTGGTGAAAGCATGAGCATAAAGCCCCCATCATGGGGATGGGAAAGACTGTCCTCCCAGACCACTTTGGGAATAGGATTTGAACTCAGACTGGTAACATTAAGGAAGCAAAATAAAAATCCTGAAAAATTAATCTGATGTACAAAGCTTTGGTCAGAAGTTTTTGTGCTATTTGTTTGGTACATTTAGGAAATTAGCAAAGCTAAGTGTTTGGGTTCCTGGATTTGTCTTGGGAGGAAGTGTGCAAGGAATGAATCCTTGGGTGAATCTCCTCTGTCTGTTGTAGACAGTCCAAAGGCAGCATCTGAGAAACTTTCTCTGGAGACAGCGAGAAGGAATGATAGGAATAGAAGTTTATTTACTGCTGTTGGTTTTAAAAGCATTTGTAGACACCTTTGAATATTCTGGAGGCCAAGAGGAAGAATTAATGCCTAACTCTTTGTGTATCCTGTATGCTTTGTATATCTTTCAGCTTGAGACTAAAAAGTGTGACTTCAAGGTCTTCTGAGGAAACTCAGAACTTGCATAGCAAGTTCTCTTACTCTTGATTATGATTCCTATACTTCTCTGCCCTTTCATTTTCTTTGTATCAGTTACACAAATGCTCCTAATACTTATTTTATGCCTCTAATCCAGTTTCTACTAACAAAAAGTCCTTTTTTTTTTCTTTTTTTTTTTTTTTAAGTAAATCCTCAACTCATTGCTGGAATGTTAATTATTTAGCCAATTGTGTCACCAGGCTATGCTGTGAGTGCTCAGTTGTGAGTTTCTTGTCCCCTCCTCTCAGACTCTCTTTTCCTTTCCCAAGGGCTCCTCATAAAAATTCAGCTGCATAAACACTTTGCTGAAAAGAAGCATGGCTCGTTTGACTGTCACCTCCACTCAGCAAAGTACACCCTTAACCTCGGTGTTTATGGTCCTTAGGCTTATCCTAGAATCTCTTTTCCTGAATAAAACATTTAGGTCTCATCCATTGAAGTCTCTAGTCCATCAGGCTCCTGTTAGAGTTGGAAGAATCTACAAAGCCTTATCTGGGAAAAAGTTTTGTACGTTTGTTTTCAGTTTTTCCTCTGCTTTGAAGGAATGTATATGAAGATTAGGTCTAGTCAATTGAAGAAAACTGCCCAAAATAAGCAATAGATTTGCTTAATCAATGCTGTGTAGGTCTAGGATCATATAGGTGATCTGTGTTAATATACTATACTCTCCAGAAAATAGAAGAGGAGAAGAGTGAAAAACTTTACATGCCTTTCCAAAGTGCTTTAGAGAGCAATAAGAATATGAGTAGCACAATAAACAAGACATCCATAAAACAGTTAGCAATAGTTTTTACTCATTTTTTATATGTTACAGCTGGGATTTGTATGTGTGCAGAGAAGAGGCAATGAAACTGTCACTCATCCTTGTAAAATTTGTGGTGGTGTCCAGTGCAAAAGAAAACAGTAACCAGTAGCCTTAAAGGGAGAAATCCCATTTCTACTTACATGGGCTTTACTGAAAAATCTGTATGGTATGTTTTGTTTTGGGACAAAATCTCCAAACAAAAGGATTGTGTGTGCACTGCAGCAAATGCAGAAAGCCTGATTCTTGTCCTCAGAGGGCCTTTAGAATAAGTGAGCTAACATTTGCTCACCTGAAAACAATAGCTGGCTAAAGAGGAACTTGAAAATATTTATTTCTCTGAGAAAGGCTTCATAAAATGAGCATGAAATAAATGTGTCTCATGCATACTATTGATAGTTCAATTATTTTAATTCACATCCAGTTTTTCTGCTATTATTGTTCTGGAAAGAAAAGTATGACAGAATGGTGTAGTAGAACACCAGACCTTTTCAGAGTGTTGCTTCATTCTCTTTAGTTTGCAGGTCTTGCTTTAATTAATTTATAGAAAAAAACAAATTTTCTTCTGCTAGGGCTTATCAAGTAATGTAATCGCTTAAGTTGTACTCTGTGAAAGAGAGCCAACTTCTACAGAAGAATAATAACTTCTTTCATACTGCTTTTGCAGGAGAACCACGAATAAAGCTAGCCTCTAAGATACTGCAAATGCTGATAACTCCTGAACCAGATTTCCTAGCAGCAATCAAAATTGCAGTATCTTCAAAAGCAAAACATTGGCAACTGCCAAAAAAACCCCATATTATAAGAAAAATGGTTATATTTTCATAGAGAACTTCAACAATCATCATTATTATCATTCTCAGTGATTACCTCTTATGGAAAAGTGCCTTTGCTGTAACACTGTTAGCAGTTTCATTTGACAGATATGAAGCTGGTTAGCTTGTAGAGACTGAACCGCCCTCTTGCATACAGCTCTGGTCTTCAGGAAGAAATGCAATTATGTTTAAGCATTGTAATAAATAACACATCTGTGAACTGAACTCATATTTCAGGCCTACAACAACAGTTGACATGCAACACATCAGGCTGGGCAGTCATGCATAAATTCCCTTTAGCCAGCAGACCAGGTGCTGAACATGATTCATCCCTGCTAGCTGGGCTCATCTGCATTGTGTAACCCTCCTCCTGGTGGGATTAGGGTGTTGTTTGTGCTAAGGCAACAAATAGAAAAACACAACAAAACCCCAACATTTTTGGTTTGGTTTTCTCATGTATTGGTGATATGCAGACATATGCATTGATAGATAATATTTTTTAAAAATTGTAGATTCATATGTGTACCTCAGGATTGTACATCATGGCTTTGATTACTGTAAAGGCTCACCCCTGAATGCATGTCCATTTTTCTCTCTTTCTCAGGGGGAACAGCTTCCAGACAGAAGGGCTTTTTGGGATGTATTCGATCTCTGCATTTAAATGGACAGAAACTTGACCTTGAGGAGAGAGCTAAAATGACACCTGGTGTTAAACCTGGATGCCCAGGACACTGCAGCAGTTATGGGAACCTGTGCCATAATGGAGGAAAATGTGTGGAGAAGTATAATGGCTACTTCTGTGACTGTACCAACTCAGCCTATGAAGGACCTTTCTGCAAGGAAGGTAAGCAGCAAGCTTTGATCCCAGGATTTCAGTGGTTTGTGCAATAACTCTGAATTACAGCACATTTTCACCCATGTCAGCTTGCTGTCGCCCACATCTCAAGATGTTCTATTATCAGCTGTCCCTTCAGTGTTCCTAAATGCTTATCTTAAGCCTTAAGCTAACACCTCCTTTTGTTGACTTCTGTGTTGGCCTCAGAAATTAAAATGTTGTTAGCTGTACTAACAAAGTATGATTCCTGTATTCCATTGCACGTAACTATCCCCAGACATTAGGAAATAGGGCTGAAATTTTTTATAGCAGGTGTTTTACCATGTTTGAATGTTTAGGTTGCTTAATTTTTAAACCTCATCTTATTTTGTTCACCTTAACAAATCCTTAAGGTTTTTCTTTACAAAGTTTTAGGGTGTTGATGTGACAAATAGAGGTAGTCTTTTTAAGTTTGTTTGTTTGTTTGTTTGTTTTCCTGTGACAACCCATCCAAAAGTTAAGAAATTTTTAAAATAAACATGAAGCATTCAGGAAAAAATTATTTGCAGGTTCAGTCTTTGGTGAATGTGTCCTCACTGAACCTTTCTGGTGGCTTATAGGGGATGCTGTCAACACTAGAATAAAACAAGGTAAATATGGAACATCTAATTTAGAGAACATGCTTTTTGGAACTAGCAAAATCACTGCTCAGTAACAGCAAGGTGCAGTGTGAATATTTAATTTCCATGGCTGTCCCCCACCTCACATGCAATAGGTTTGCTAAATGGGCTACATCATCTGCTGGTGTAAATTGGCTTAGTTGTTTAATGGAAACAGAAGCATGATTTCTAAGGATATGAGGATGCACAGGTAGATGTTTCTCTTCATTTGATGCTCCCAAAGACAGCTTCCTTTACAGCCTGTCCTTGGTCAACGTGCTGCTTTCATAATTAATTTCTGTAAAAATGAGACTGGAAAGAACAAATCTGTTGTGGGGGCAAGACAGAGAATATTTCCTTACATGTCACTATCAGAAGATGGTGAACAAAGCATTTATTTGCCTGACAGACATTTGGGCTGTTCCATCTTGTGGAATTCTGATTCCAGCACTGAAATAGTTGAATTTATGTCTCCATACCCTGTTTTTTTCTGTGCCAGACAAACAATCTGTAAGGAAAGACAAACTCCTGTACAAGAGAAAGAAGGGTGATGTCAGCTGGATCAAGGGTGTTTTGCAGTATTCTACTTCTGAGGCAGTTCTTATCCATTCCTGCCTGTGAGATCTGAAAATGCAGTAACTGAAATAATTCCTTTGGTTTATATATGTTTTCAGAGGTTTCTGCATTATTTGAAGCTGGCACTTCTGTTACCTATACTTTCCAAGAACCTTATCCTGTCACAAAGAATGCAAGCACCTCAAGCTCTGCCATTTATGTGGATGCTGTTGTGTCCAAGGAGAATATTGCGTTCAGCTTTCTCACAGCACACACTCCAAGCCTTCTTCTGTACATTAACACCTACTTTCATGAATATTTGGCTGTTATTCTCTCCAAGAATGGTGAGTAGTCTTGATTTGCTACCCAAGGGCGACCAATGTAACTGTGAAGTTTTTGGGGTTTTGTTTGTTTGTTGGTTTGTTTGTGGGTTTTTAGTGGGAGAAAAGTACAGAATTGTGCACTGATTTAAGTTCATTTCTCTGTCTTCAACTTTATCAACTTCATGGTGTTCAGTTCAAGAAATGGCCATCACTCTTGTTAATGTCCCTTAATTTAGCATTCTGTGCTACACTTGCCTGTTCAGTCTTTGAGTAATCATGTTGTTGGGGCATAAAATGTGCTTTGACTTCCATTTGGCAAGATTGTACAATGGTAACTCCTTGCTATTTATTCCATAGTGAGATCCATTAGGCCACCAAGATAAGAGAATGAGAAATACCATATTTGTACAAGAGTGCTTGGTGCAGAAATATACTATAATTTTATCCTTTGCATTCCATCTTGGCACGTGTATTGCTCCTCACTGGATTGTTTCAATGGAATAAGTGCATTTTGTCTGAATATTAAAGCCAGAATATGTCAACGTTTTCTAGGTTAATTGAGCAAAACATGAGGTGTAAATCCATTTCCTGTTTAAAGATACTTGACATGGGTACTTTTGAAAATGTGTAAAGATTTTAAGGGCATAGACCTTTGTCTTCTCAGTAAACCTCTGGCTCCTGAGTATTTGCAGTGCTTTCAGAAAACTCACTCCAGACAAACATCATCCTAGACAAATGGGGAAATTTGAATTTTTCAAGAGTTATCAGGCGCTGGAGCACTGGAAGTGATGAGTAAGCTTATTGGTGATTCAGTAGCCTGTGGCAGAACAATAGAAAGTTAATGTAATGTGGTTGAATTTGTACATTTGACCGAATGACCCAGACCACTCTGAAGCCTTGAAAATTTCAAAATAACTAAGCTTTCAAGTACCATCAAATGAAACCATAAAAGATTAAAACAAAAAAAAAATCAACAACAAAAAAAGGGTTTATTCTCAATACAGAGTTTGCAGTAGTTTCTCTCTTGATTATGTCAGGTGCATAGCATTGAGGCTGGCAGGGATAGTGGACTGGCACCCTAATCCCTGGGAGAGGCAACTGGAATAGTAACTGCCTGAATGAATCTACAACAGGGGAAGCTTTGCCAGGGAGATGGTGGGACTATTGAGGTGACCCTAACCCTCTCCTGTCCAGCCCCATATTTCTGTCTCTAATTTGCTCCTGTAGACAAGTGTTTATGATTTTCAGATGTATGAATATTCTAGTGTGTAGCTCCAGGGTGATGGAGGTTATCCCCTGCTGAGTAAAACCTTGGAATCTGCTTCTCAGTTACATTCAGGTCTCTCGATGCCACTCAGGCAATTGGAAATAGCCCTAAAATTAATAACGGTGTAATATCCATTTAAATCACCTTTATTGCTGCCAGAGTAGTCTGAAATGACCTTAGAAACATGAGTCAATTGACTTTTATTGATGGAATACACTCTAAGCAACCTATAATTGTGGAGCTCTAGAAGGGGGTCTCTAATAGTGCTTGGGGACGGGTTGGGATCAAGACATGAGGATGTCATGTAGAAGCTCAGCAGGAGCAGAGTTTGAGAAAATGAAAATGACCTTTCATTTTGTCAGCTGCAGCATTTGCAGGTTTCAGCTCTGACTTAGATGGAGACAGGCACTCTCAGTACATGTGGAAATCAGGTGGAGCAGGTCTCGGCACAGTTAGGCACTACAAACAGTGGTGCCTTTCTCAGATCTGCACCTCTTTCTATTCATTTATAATATGGTGGTAAAAGTTTTTTAGAGGGTTGGTGAGATGTCAGACTCCAAAATTCTGGACTATAAAGTGTAGCACTGTATGCAAAGAATGATTAAAATAACTAGCTGACCTTTGTTAACTCCTGAAAGTCTCCTTCAGGATTACTCAGTGCATGCTTCTGTGACATTTTTACAAGACAGTCATTTCAGTCATGTATATTCTCTGCCTTTTGTCCCAAACGGAATAATTTGTTAAATTTCATGTCCTTTTACTTTTTTGTCTTGTTGGAATTGAAATTATTCCAATGAAAATAGTGTTCAGATATGTTACTCTTTCTTCCTCCAAGAGGTTTATGCTTGCCATAAAATTACTGGACTATGAATATCAATGTCCTTCGTAGCATTAAAAGTGAGTATGATTCCTCCTCTCTTATTGGCTCACTTTCAAGGAATCTTGCTGAGTCTAACAGTGTATAGTAGGACATAAGCAGGTCCCTGCTGGATAGTAGATTGGTTAAATAAAGGTTAGGCTCCTGGAGAAATGGGAATGGGCATTCTCACTTAGGAGGTGAGCAGTAATACTCCTTACCATAATTCCAAGTCCCTTTCCATTTGTTAAAAAAATATGTAGGAACAGTCTATGTAAAATTTAATACTTCACCTTTTGTAACTATTTTTGAAGCTACTACTCATTCATTCTGTTATTCCTCTTTTCTATTATCTACAAAATAACTAGGCAAATTATTAGTTAATAAAAGTTACTATGAAAAGAATGTATTTCCTACTTCTGACTTCTTATGTTAAATATTTGACGTTAAAGAAGTTAAACTGAAAGGATTATTCATAGTTAGAGTATACTAAAATGGCTTATATGAAAGTAAACTTGTATAGGCAGCTATGGTCTAATTCAGTCAGGTGTGAAATATTTCCTAAAACCTATTGATTTCAGTAAATCTTTATATATAAAATACTTGTAGAAGCAGTTCCCCTCAATAGAACATATTCCATACCACAGAGTTTATTCTTACCTCTGATCAATAGGCTCATGTCTTGGAAGTTTCCAGGTAAGATTTCAAAAGGTGATGGTTTTAAAGGTGACTTAGAAATTGTTTCCTCCATTAGTTAATACTGATGCCTTGAAGAAATACGTGTGATTTTGAAAATTGTATGCGTGTAAAAGTATCTTCCTTTCCTCTCCAATCTTTCACGGATTTTTAAATTACAGCTACATAAATATGTGTATGTATGGTATATAGATGGATGTGTGTACATACACATACACGTACATGCACACATATATGGGTGGGTGTGCATGTAAAACTCATGTAGTCCCATTGGTCCCACATCCAGGAGATTAGCAGTACTGTAATGATTGGCATTTTTAGTATCTCTTTCTGTAGAAATTTCAAATTATAGTGCCTGTTACTAAGCTGCAGAAAATGGGTAAACATCTCTAATTAGTCTTCTCAGTGTGTCAATCCACAGAAATTATCCATATCATGGGAAGATACTACCAAGAAAACAGTATTTTTTTCTTTCCCAAACTAGCTTTTCATTGTACATTTTTGTAATTATATGATTTCACGAAGTTACCAATACCTTTGAAATATTATCTTTGCCTTGCTCCCTAAAGGTAATAAATGATGGGAGAAAAAAATGTTAAAAGAAAGAATGTTGAAATCATTTTATTTCTCCTTTCTTCATTTTTCCTACTCCCCTGCAAAAAATCAAATGTGATATGAATATGATGAAATATATTGTCTAGAAAAATGTTTTCACAAGTCTTTGATTCTCAGTTTTGTCAGCTTTCTCCATGGAAACAATATGATTGCAATCTAGAAAAAAGCAGATAGCTAGCATCAAAGAAGAGAGATAGAATCTCAAACTATGCTAGAGTGATTGAAAAAAATTTCTGTATTTATTATTTAATCTCATGAGAAATTAAACAATTTGAGTCCTTTTTTCTTTTTCCACCTTTCCAGCATCTATTGCCATCACACTGAGTTGTGTTCTCCATTTCTTTTGGAAAGCAAGATTCTGATTTTTCATAGGAAAGATTAAGCACAAGGAAAAAGGCACAGTTAAAAACAGCAGTACAAATGAAAACATCTTAAATAATTCTTAGGTCTCTGATACTCAGCATACAGTAGCAGGACTTATATCAGCTCCACTTCTCTGACCTATAAAGTCTTGAAATCAGCTGATATTTGAAATGAATAGGAAAAGAAATCACAATTTGTAACAGAGGTAAGCTGAGTTAACACTAAAAAATTAAATAGCAAATATTGTCAGTGGTTAATTTTTTTACTGATTATTTTTTTTCTTATAAACTCAATCTCCTGTCTCTAAGTCAGAAAGTCTTTCTAATGAAAACATGTAAATTCTCCTTATTGTTTTTGCCTTCGAGTATGGTGAGCTGCATCTCCAACAAGCAAAGCTTTTCTCACTCAGAGGAAAAGAGATGCAAAAATTCCAGTTCAGTCTGTGAGGCAAGAAATCTTTTGACCCTGTTCCCACTGTACACTCTGAAGTTCAATGGGTCAAAATTAAAACAGGGGAAATAGGACTTGAGTGGATTTCAGGGGTTCTTCTGGTTCTTCTTCCTTACTTTCCTTCCTTTTACTTCTTGTCTTAGTTTTGGGACATTAACTCAAGAAAGACCCTCTTGACTACGCTATTGCTTGTGCATTTGTCTGCTCTTTTGAGAGCACCTTGTGCCTTACAGACTTGCAGCAGGCATTGACCAACCTGCACAGTTTATGTGACTGAAGTGGGAAATGGTGACACGGTTCAGGTGTAGTTACCTTTACCAGATCAGGAGCAGGAAAGAAAGTCATGTTGGGAGCTGTGGGAGACAGCTTCATAGAGGAGACGAGCAACTGTGAGTGACTGAGGGTTGTTCCCAGTCTAGTTCTGGTTCACAGCCATTATGTGGCAGATAGCCTCTATGTCTTCTAAATATAATTGCAAGAAACTGTTGCAGTTGGCCCCTGAAATCTTATATTATTTACTGAATGAGGAACCAGAGACAGTTTGATCAGTGATGATGAATATAAAAGAAATTTTCCCAGTTGCCTTAAATGAGAAGCTGGCTTTGGTACCATGAGTAGGCAGGGTTGGGGTGGCAGGATCTATCAGTTTATTTATCTAAAGAGAGAAAGTTCTGTTGCTAGAAATCACACTGGTCACTTAGATGTTTCCCTGTTGTAAGCACACTTCACAGAAGAGAGCTGATTAGAGTTTTCACTTCAACTCCAGTACTAAAA